GTCAAGTGCTTGTGGCTAGTCCTCGGGTCTGGGTCACACCAGGCTGACCCTCTTCTCTCACACCTGAAGTGTGGAGGGGTGGGGCCCAGGAAAACCCACCAGAGTCTGAAGCCACCATTCAACATCTCCTGGCAAAAGCCCCCCTATAATTTTAAAAATCAACTATTTAGCTCCCTGTTCTTTACAAACCTCACGATATGGGACAAGGACAAAAACTCCATCTTCCAGTGGAGATGGAGGCAATACTGTTCTTCCTCCTCCTCCTTCCTGGGCCATGAGGAACTTCTGAGACTGGGAGCTAGAGACACAGGCTCTGTCTGTGACCTTGAGGAAGTACCTGAACCTCTCCGAGCCACACTCCCTCACCCAATGCCCCTTCCAGCTCGTTTTAAAAGAACTACGGCCGCTATGCAGATCCTTTACCTTATAACTATACTTTTCCAAAGGCCAACAACACCCAACTGCTCAAGAGGAGCTACAGATTGGAAAAAGATGGCGGGAAAGGGGGGTAGCCCAGGCAGACAGATGTGCATGCACACGCACACACACGGATGCACACATATAAACAGTCATGACAGATACCTTCCACTTTATACGTCACATAATTACGATCTTTTTTTTTCTTTTATCCTCACCCAAGAACATTTTTTCCATTTTTTGTTCAGATAGGGTGGGAGGAAGAGAGAGGAAGAGAGAGAGAGAGAGAAACATCGACGTTAAAGGGACACATCGAGTGGCTGCCACCCGCACAACCCAACCAGGGCCGGGGACAAACTGCAACCGAGGTACGTGCCCTTAGCGGGAACCGAACCCAGGTCTCTCTGGACAGCAGGCCAGCGCTCTAACTGCTGAGCCAAATTGGCCAGGGCACAATTGCAATCTTTAATACGAATATCTAACAATTACATTTATATTTCCTTTAAAGTTTACTTTAACCTTAAAGCCTTCCTCAGTGCTAAAAATGTGACTGTATTCTCAAGAAGGTAAATCTTACCTACCTGTGTTCATGGGCCCTGTGGTTGACACAAAACAAAATTCACAGATACCTCGTTTTATACATCAATAAACAATAAGCTACATTTTTCACCTATGAGAGTGACAAGACCCCATGATGGAGAGAACAGGCTCAGGGCTGCGGAAGCATAGATCACACAGTTCCAGGGCTGAAGTACATGCTGCCATGCCCTTTGACCTGCCTAGATTCTCTCTACAGGAATTGTGGGAAAACATTCCAAGATGCACTCCAAGAATGGTCCCTGAGCTTCAGATGTGAGAACAAGGGACAGCCTGCATGCGGTCAGTGAGTACACGTACACACACACACACACACACACACACACACACGAGGGCCACTAGATCCCAAGAGTGCAATGATGGAAGACCTCGGGGAAGTTTAACGACCAAATCAGTAGTTCTTTTTCAGGCTGCACTGACCCCCACCAGGATGTTGGCAAATACAAGCAGAGTGGCCCTGCAGGCGACTCGGGCCTGGGGAGGGACCAGTCACTGTGTAGGCCAGTCCCCTCAGCAAGGAAATTCTTGCCTCAAATACCAATAGCAGCCAGTAACTCTTACATTAAATTTCTGGACCTAACCCCCAAAATTGTTGCTTTTGAGTGGTCACTTTTGAGTGACCAAATTTGGGGCTTTGTAATTTCCACTCGGTGCTTCTGTGCTGCTGAATCTTTCTTTCTCTGCTTCCTCCTCCTCCAAACCGCCTATGAATGATGGATTTGAACTTTTACCACTTGAATTCTTCACCTCAAGCATATACCAACTTAGTTCAAATAAATGAATGCTGAAGGCAAGAGAGAAGGCTCTGATGGCCTGGAGCCCACCCCCATCTTTGCTTCACTGAGACAGGAGGAGTGGGTGTCTCAGGTCCATGAGCAGCCTGGGCTTCCACCCTCTCACCACACCTCCCCGGGTGCCATCTGCCTCCTCTGTCTGACCAGAGTAAAACCAGAGAAGCAGGCGGACAGACAGGGACTCACCCTGAGGACACCTCTCGGCAGCCCACTCATTCATGCTATTTTAAACGCACATCCTAGCATACCTCCAGCTGAAGACACGCACTTTTGAAATGAAATGTTAACTACTAATTACCAAGGAATCATGCTTATTTTCATATATTGCTGGAAAATGTGGGGTTTTTTTAAAAAAAACAAAGGAATTACAGTGTTTTGTTCAGATATCTTTTTTAAAAATACACAAATATTTGTGTTCCAGAAACAGAAGACATAAGGTTTACAGTTGGTGCCAGAGTACACACACAGGAGCCCCACTTCCAGGCTCTTCCCCATCCCCCACACACCACCGTGGCTCTCCTCCTCATGCACTGCTTCAGGGAGAGGCCCGCAACCCCTGGCCCTGCTGCATCCCATGAACTGCAAACTTCCTAAGGAACTAACTCACTGTTGGGCACAGGCACTCAACAAACAGCAACAATGGATGTGTGAACAAAGGAGCGCAGGTATCATTAATTCAGGTGTTTCCATCTCTATCCCACACACCAAGAATGGAGGGAGATGAAATACACACAGGAACCAGCAGGCCTGGCTCTTACAGAATTCTAATCTGAGATGCATCTACATCAGGACAGGTGAAAAGCTCTAACTCTTTCCAACAGACTAGATGACATCAAGCCCCTTAGACCAAAGACACTGTTCAGTGGGTTAGCCTGCAAGAGTCATCGTGCCTAGATAACCGTCCACAGGCCCTAGTGCAGTCCAGCTCACCCATCAGGACAGTCATCACTGCCCCTCCCCAGTCCCTGTCCAGCCCAGCACACTTCCTGTCTCCCTCAGGGGTGGTTTCTGTCCTTGAAAACCTACCCACACCCACTACCCTTTCACCTCCAGTCAATGGGCTCACGCCTATCCAGCAATTTCTCTGGTTACACACATGAAACCTGCTAGTTACCCTGAACCTCCACTGGAGGCAGAAAGCTGCCACACCATTTTTCCTCATCCTCCTCACCAAAATCTGCCAGGCTGACCCCTCACTGGTCCTCTTAGTTTGTTTTCCACTGTGACCCCCAAAACCTAACTCCAGCCCCGTCCAGTCCCTAGGATCCAACAGCCTCCCGTGGAGCCCCCAGAGCTCTGCAAAGCTGAGATCCCAGCCCACCCCCTTCAACTTGAGGGGTTCAGCTCCCACCTGTGCTTTGGGCTTTGATCTTACACCTAAGAAAACCTGAAGCACCACTGCTTAAATTAACTACTTTTATTTTCCCCTGCAACACTGGCTACCAAAGTTATCTTTCCAAACTCAAATATCACTCTCCTACTTTAAAAAAATAAGGTAACTAGAGAAAAGGCCAAAGCAAATTAAATGCTCTTGTAAGTAAAGTAAGGACTTGACCACAATCTCCATTTCCAATCTGGTCCACCATCCCTGGTGAAACCTGGTTTCAGCCACTCCTGACATCAACCAGCTCTCAGGATGGGGAAGGCCACTTCACCTGTTTTTCCTCATGCTATTTCTCAGCCTGAACTACCTACACCATTATCATCATAGCTCCCATGACCGAGAATCAGGTCCAGGGGAACCATCCCGCCAACCAGCCACCAAGCAGCCCTCAGCTGCTCTGCACTTTGCAGGGTCTGCTTCTCTGAAAGTGAGCATGGGAGAAGGTTGTTTATGAGTCTTCCCTGCAATCAGACGGCAGGCCGATACTATCTCTTTATATCCTCTAGAGGTCAACAAGGAATCAAAGACAGCCTCTCAAACAAGGAGCCTCCCCTTCTCCTCTAGTCAGTTAATAAAAAAGAGCACATAAACTGGGTTCCCTGAAACACACAACCCCAGAACTGCACTCTAACAAAAGCACTGGGGTCCAGCAGTACCCTCTTAAAGATGCCTTATTAATCCATTACTAAGCACATACTAACCTGTCTTGCCTCTTTGGGGAATACATTAATAAATGCAATTAGAAATGATAAAAATCAACCTAACATGAAATACTAATTACGACTCTAACTTAAAACACACACAGAATACAACTGTGTGTTCATGCACACTCTCTACCAAACCAAACCCAGCACTAGAAGACAGGGGCCAAGTGTGAGAGCATGACCAAAGTCGGAAAGAACATGGGGCGCTCTCGGTCAGACTTTCACACACTTATCATCTGAAATGATGAAAAGACAATAAGGCCTATTATTTGGTTCCATTGACATGGGCACATTTTTACTTCCTCTAGTTGTGTTTCAGGTAGATGCAGTTTATCTGAGCTGTATTTCCAACTCTATGCAATAAATATGTAAATAAGCAAACAGCCTCTTCTCACTAATGTTTACAAAACAATGCATTCTGAAAAACACTAAAAGATAGAACTGGGGTTTCAGTGACTCTGACTAATACTACAAAGTGTAGTAAGAACTACATAACCAATAAAATAGGCTATATTTTTAGACCTGAAGTCTATTTCTTGGAACAAGTTTAAAAAAGTATTCAGTATAGTCTATTGTTTCATGACAAATACAAAGCAAACTAACGTAGGATTTTTTTTACGACATTTCATTAATCACCAAATTTAATTTTTCTGAGAAAAAAATGTGGCCAAGACAAGTGCTTAGCTGAATTAACTTCCTAGACTCTCCACAAAACAGGTGCTCAGGGGCACTGTGCACACGACCAGTCGCCCTGGTCCCAGCCCTCCACCTCACTGAATTCAGGATGACCTTCAGCAAAGATATTCAAAATTATAAGTTAATACAGTCTGAAAAGATGAAGAAAAAGTTAGTGATATCATTTAAGCCTCATGCAACGTCTATCATCAGTGCTGAAGACTGCAAAACCCAGGTGAAGCAAATCACACTCTCTGTAAAAGCTGAGCTCCTTCATCTTTTTCACTTTTATCCTGTGTCATCTGCTTTAAAGGGCTGGTAATAAACAGTACTGTGGTTTGTGTTGTCATTCTGAATTAAAGTGGAAAATCTACAAAGAATGTAGTGGTAGACAAATGTCTGTCTGTAAACCCAAGCAAATATACTTACATCTTTTGCCATGTTACCAGCTCCGTGAAATCAATGCTATAAATGTTCACCCTCCAGAGAAGAAAAATGATTTTTCTGGTAAAAGGGAAAGAAAAACAAGAAATGAGTAAGGATGAAAAAAGAAGTTAAAAAAATATCAACATTTCCCCAGTACCATCCTGACTGCCCCTCCAGGTAGCAGGCACGTTCCTTTCGAAACCCACGGTCCATTCTCAAAGCGCGGCTGGCAGAAACCCCCACACCTGGGATTCTAAAGTCATCGCAACAAATGGAAATGCATCCAACACCAGGATGCCCATTCCCGCTTCCTGCAGACCCCAGTCCTTCCCGACGCCCACACAAAGACTCAGCACCCGCTTGGGCCTGGCACCCAGCCTGCGCCCGCGCAACCAGGGCGCAGCAGGGGACCCCTTGCCAGCGCCTGGATGCAGCCCTGCTGTCCCTGCGCAAAAGCGCACCCCAAGGAGCGCCCGGGTCCCGCTGGCTCGCTCCCCTCGCCCACTCGGCCGGCCGGTAACTCTGACAGGTGGGCTTCCGGGGTCTGGCCTCCGGCCTGTCACTAGGCCGCGGCCGCATCGCCGCGAGCGCCTCCCGCGCGCCGGAACCGGCAGTCAGGCAGGCCAAGTCGGGGTCAGCGCCGCCCCCACGACCCCCGGACCCCGTGCGCTCGGGCTGACCCCGATCCCCGCCGGGTGCACACGCCGGCGCTGCTGCTCCGCCTGAAGGCCACCTGCAGGCCCCGCCGGGGACCTGGGACCCCCAACCCCACGGCCGGGTCACCTGGGAACCCCCAACGGTGGCGCCCAGGATCGGGGGCGGAAGGCGGGAGAGCCGAGAGAAGCGCGCACACGCGGCAAGGAAGAGGGACCGGGGCCGGTGGGCGCCCCGCGTGTCCGCGCCCCTCCTGGGACCCCGGCCCTCGCCGGACCCCTGCCCGCCGCACCTGGTTGGTGGTCGGCGCGCGGACACGCGGGGACAGACACGAGGGCGCGGGAACGGACACGCGGGCGCGGACACGCGGACGCGGACACGCGGGCAGTCCCGGCGCGCACTCCGGCCCGGGGTCCTGCCCTGCAAGGCGCCGGGCGCGGGGCTCACCCTGCCGAGCGGGCGTCGGGCAGCGTGACGTGCGCGGCGCGGTGACGTGGGTGGCGGCCCGGCTCCCGCAGCGCGCCTGCGCGCGTTTTCGCGCCTTCGGCTCCCTCCTCCTCCTCTTCGTCCTTCTCCTCCTCCTCCTCCTCCCGCCGGGTGGCCCGCGCTCGGCTCGGAGGGGGATGGGCTGCGCGTGCGCGTGTGCGTGCACGCCGAGCGGAGATGGTGATCCAGGGACTGGCGTCGGGATGCGGCGGTGCGCGCGCGTGGGAGAGGAGCCAGTGTAGGGTGTGCACATGTGCGCACACGGAGGACCGGGGCAGGAGTGTGTGCATTTGTGCGCACGGGGCCGCCGTATGTATATACAGTTGTGCACACACAGGAAATGGGTCGGGAGGGGGTGTGTGCACACATAAGAGAGGAGTCAGGAGTGTGTGTGCACATGTGCTTACAAGAGGAGAGGGACCTGGTATGTGCACTTGTCAGTATACACGGATGAGAGTGGGAGGATGTGTGAGCACTTGTGTGTGTGCATAGTGAGGAAAGGGAGGCCAGCTGTGTGCACGTGTACATGGGTGTATTTGCAGGAGTGTGTGCACGAGTGGGCACAGGTGCTTATATGCACACAAGGAGGAGGGGGGCTGGTGTGAGCACCTGCAGGTGTGTGCACATGGAGGAGACTGGGTGTGTGAACACGTGTAGGAGAGGAGGTTAGGTCTGTCCACCCAGGACTGTATGTGTACTTGACAAAGGCAGGCTGGGATGTGCACATGGACATGTTTGGTCCGGTTCGTGTGTATGTGCACAAGAAGGAGAGGAGGGTGCAAGTGAGTGGTCAGGTGCTCCAAGGAGACAGGGTGAGTGTGCATGCAGCATCTAAGGCCCTGTCCACCTGGTGCTTGCCTGGCCCTCAACCTCCATACCCACGCTCAGCTTCAGCGAAGATTACCAGTGTCCATGCAGAAGGATGCTCAGGAGGGAAACCAGGCAGCCAGTTTGCTCCTTATATGTGTAACTGGTGGGCCCTGAACCCAGGTGACTTGTGCTCCCTGCAACCCAACACTGCCAGGGCCAGGGCCAGGGCCTTGTGCCCACAACCACTCCTGGAGGATCGAGGGGACTGGAGACCCAGCAGAGGACGGGCTGGGCCTGGGAGTCCAAAGTTCAAGGCTGAACCACTGGGTGGTGTGCAGTAAGCTCAGGCATAATTAATGTCTCAGAGGACTTAAGCACAGAGCAAAGGCCTCTCTGCACTGTATGGGCAACATGTTACTGCATTACACCCCACCTGGCATGGTTTCACAATTTAACCATTTTTATGCTGATAACACCCACTCCTGCTTCTCTACTAAGGCACCACTTAAACTGTTAACATTTTAATTAACATTGATTTATTCTTGAAGACAGCAAACATTTTCACATTCTTTCTGCTGATTCACCTACAATGGACACTTAGAGAAACATGGGTGGTGGGATGATAGGGGGTGAATAAAAGGCTCACAGAAGATGTCCTACACATCCTGTAGGCAGAACAACTTATTTCTCTGCTGGTGAAATGTATACAGCTCTTCATCCATTAGCAAGCTGGGGCTCAGAGTTAGAAAGAAATGGAGGATAAGAGTACAGAATCTTAAACCTCTCCCTATGGATTCAAGATTCCAGTAACTCAACAATATTTACACTGAACAACTACCTCTAATATTTTTTTTAATCTGCACAAAAATTACTGTAATGAAATATTCTGAACTCATAAGAGACATTACAGCAATGAAAGCACATTGAGGCCCTGATTTACTTGGATAAAGGGCAAAAAGTTCTTCCTTTTTGGCCTCTTAATAGTCAAATACCCCACAAAACCTAGTTTCTGTGTTAAAAAGTAACAGAATGATCTCTAAAATATTTGATTGAAGATCCAAATAATTGAAGCCACTGCATTGCCTTGAAATCTCTAGATTGGATTGTAGAAATGCAACTCTTTTGATGAGTAATAGTTCCATAACTCCTTGTATTAATCTAATCCTTTCATCTCCAATGTGTATCTGGAGGGAGGTTCAGGGAGCTTGGGTTAACTTGATCCACTTCCAGTAGTTGGCATTCAGCCCTGTGTCATTGTCCAGGATACCACATGAAAATGATTCGGTTCCAATTTTTATTAGGAAAGTGATCAGGTCCTTCCCAGGAAAAGTCCTCCTCTCCCAAGAGCTCCCTCTTTGTGTGTCTGCTCTGTGAGTCTTAGAGCTGATCCAAATCCTACCCTAACCCCACTAAACTGTCCTTTAAAGAGAGAAAGAAAATTTTCTAATACCTTGAAAATTTTTATCTTAAATCTGTTTGTTAAATATCCAATTTGTCTTTGGTTCCCTCCTCAATAACATTGGTCTCTTCTCCAGCCATTTCCTGTTCTCCACCTTGGGTCACCACAGCCATGGTGACAGTAAGAGGTGGGAAGACAGGTAGGGGAACAAGGACTCATGGAACTTTTAGGAGGGGAAGAAAGTTTCTGGATATGGACAAGTGACATTATCCCCTTTGATGAAATATAAATAAGGCGTCTTTAGAAAACTTTGTGTATATCATAAAATATAAGCAAATCTGTACTTGCTTAACCTCAAAAGATAAATCCCCTGGTCCTCTCCCCAGAAAGATCCCCCACTTCTAAGCCCCATCTACAGAGAAATTGTGCAGCCCACACCCCACCATCTAGACCCAGGAAGACATATTTATATCTCTCATTTTTCCTTGTATCATGAGTCCTTTTGAAATTTTCTGGTCAAATCCAAAGTCCTTCTCTTGGAAGAACAACCAATCCTTGACCTTCTTGCATTATTATACTCTCAATATTATGTGTTAAAGACTTGCACATTCATGTACAGGCTGAAGCCACCGTCTTTTGAAAAGTTCCCCTTGGATCTAACAAATTGTAGATCCCTCAAAATTTACTCAGACATTCTTTTACAAGTCTTTATTATTTAGACACTTACTTGCTTTTTCTCTAAAACGTTCCCTGGCTTTTACAAGGAAAGAAATCCCTTTCATTCCTTCGCCATTTAACTCCAACAATTCTTCTAAAATGTTTCTTCTATGTGATTTCACATTGTTCTGGCTAAAATGATATCAAGATTATTTTCTATGGAGTCCTACAACACAAGGTTGAGAGATCCCTGTTTTCCTTATATCATTTCCTTCCTCAGTTGAATCCGTTTACCATTAGCCAGAAGTAAAAGCAATACCAGGAGCCCACAGCACAAGTGTAAGAAACTTGACCTTATGTACAACTGACTGACTGCCTTTGATCACTTCTCTGCTACCTGTCCACTTACTTTACAGATTCAGAGAAGGAACTTAGAACTCACCAGAAGCTGAGATGAAGGATAGTCAAATGACCTTGGATAAGTAATCTCAGCCTCTCTGATGCTCAAATTCTTTTAGCTTCTTTTTTTTTTTTTTTTTTGAGAAATAAGATAAAAAACAGTTCTGATAAGAAGATAAACCACAATTTCAAAAGCTTTATCTTTCCTGCATTCCTTACCTGGGAAACATTTTTTTCGAGTTCCAAATACCTGCCAGATAGTACTCTGAGGGCTGATATCGAACAGATTTATAAGATAGAGATTGCTCAGAGCCAAACAGGGGAGACAGCTTCACATACAAGTGACATAAGGAGACAAGATTCTATTCATGACTAGGAATGGAAATTTTGGAAGCACAGAACCAGAAACATTTATTTTCCCCTGCAGGCAGAAAAACATTTCTCAGAGTTCTAGAGACCGGAAGTTCAAGAAAAAGGGTGCTAGCATAGTCAGGGTCCAGAAAGGACCCTCTATCAGACTTGCAAGTGGCCACCTTCTCATTTTATTTTGACATGACAGGAGGAGCAAGCCAGCTCTCTGGCCTCTTATACAGGCACAATTGCATTCATAGGGCTCCACCTAACCTGATTATCTCTCAAAGGCCCACCCACCTCCAAATACCACCTGTAGGAGAGAAAAGCAATTTTCTCTCTATTTGAAGTTCTTGGCTGGGGCTCCTGTAACAAAAAGCAGATTAACCAGAGAAAAACAAGTTTAACATGTTAACCTCATGTATACATGGGAGATATCCAGGGAAAAATGAGTAACTCTCAGAGGTGGCTTAGAATTCAGGCTTAGAAATCTTCTTCAGCTAATAAGGAAAGAAAAATGTGGGAGAGGCTAATTATGGGGAGGTAACCAGGAAAAGTAGGTAAACAAGAGTAAGATGTGTTATGATTTAAATCCCCGCCTTGTCTGTTGATAGAATTTTCTTGGTTTAGTCATCCACCTCCTCCTGGTACAGAAAGGGAGACACCCTGACACATGGAGATTTCCTTTATAAATGCAAATTTCTTTTACAAAAGGGTAACTTCAACTTCAGTTTCTCCTGCCCCTCAAAATAATCCTGTGCCAAAGAGTCCCATTCTGGGGTGGTAAATTCTGCCACCCTTCATACCACATTGGGGGTTAGATTTCAATATATGAACTTTGAGGGGCTGCAAACATTCAGACCATAACAGTCCCATTGGTTTAGTCGGAGCCACACCTGGCTGAAAGGGATGCTAGAAATGCAGTCATCATTCTGGCCACCTAAGCATTTGAAGGTCTATGAAAGAAAGGGGTGGAGAGCAAATATTGGGAGAAAATTTGCAGTTTCTTCCAAAAGATGAAGAGAGACTGTGTTTCAAAGAAATAAACCCCATGGAGGTAGGAAGAACAGATTGGAGAGAGACATGATCTGAGACAGGTCATCAGTTAAGAGGCAAGGAGTCAGGGGGCCTGGTGCAAGCTACAGGGATTGACCCTGGCCAGCACACACTGAGAAAGGGCCACAGGATCAGAAGTTGGCTGAGGTCCAGGCTCAGCAGCAACAGCAGCAAGAGCTGAGGAAGCCAGGCTGCCCAA